TGAAGCCGCTCCACGAATGCAGCTGACTGATGCTATAGCTGAGCCAAGCGCAGAGTGACAAAGCGAAGCAAGCAAGTGCGACAACCGCCGTGTTCATATAGTTAAGGTATACAGTATACATAGATATATATATATATACGTAAACAAACAACATCAAACAAATAAAGGCTATATGATTAGTTGTCTATGTCAAAACGCGACAGCAACATCTTGAGTTCAAAGCTCTGTTGCTGGCACTCCTGAAGTGCAACTCCTGTCCAGCCTTCCTGTCGAGCAGTGTTGTGGAGCGCAGTCTCTTGAAATTTTGCTTCAACTGTCATTCCCCAAACTAAAAAGCACAATTGTTGCAAACAAATTGCAAGCGGTTCTATTATAGGTGTTCTGGGAGGCTTTACTACTAAGCTTATCAATCTTCACAAGACAAGTACTTGTTTCCCTCGGCATGCCTCACTCTTGCTCCAGCCGTACCAGTCCAAGGAGCTTGGAGGTCCCTGCCAAGAAGCTAGAAACTAACTGAAGTTTAGAGACGTGACCTTTCTTCTGCCACGACAACTAGTGCCAGTCCATGCAGCGTCCGTCGGTGATTCCTGAACACTTTTGCGCAAGGCATGGTCTAACTGTACATCCCTGTACAATCAAGGTGCAAGCACTCCAAGTTGAACTTTTGCGAGCAAATCCAAGTTCAACGGAGGGCAAACCCCTCTCTATGCAATGGAGATGACCCATTCAAGTTCTAGCTTCTGATGGGCCTTCTACATCACAAATCAGGCACAGTACACACGCCGGCGCGCATTGCAGCTTTCCTTGTAGCTTCCTTAAAGGAAACCGATGCATGCCAAGCACCCTTCATTGCTCCTGGGCCTCTGGGGTTGGACCCACAGCTCCCTTCACGCATGTTGCAAATGCCCAATCTTCACTTGGGGCCAAGCCCTCCTTGTAGCGTCCGTAGTTCAGGCGTTCGTCACCAAAGACCTTGCCGCAATGGCGGCCATCAAAGTGCTCAAAAATTGCTTCTTCGCTTTCACAGTATGAGAGCAGCTTTGAGCTCTTGAACCTAAGAGCGATTACCTAGCAAAAAATTACTTTGAAACTCGTTAAAGCTTCCCGCACGTTCTTCCAAGGCGGCCAAACGTTTTGCTCTTTGAGGACCAGGTGGCACTGATCTGAAGATTCTGCCACCCAAGACCCTCCAGCAGCTGTTTCAGCTTTGTGGATGTGAAGGTGCCTGGCCTGAATGACTTTAAACGGCAGGATGTGGTGAAGTAGTTGCTTGCACTTGTATACTGTATTTGTGATGTGTTTTCCATGTTCTCCCTTGGGCTGGACACCTTTTGCATTTCACAAGGATGTTAGCATGCTCTAGCATGAGGTTTCTTGCTAGGATAATGCTACAAGAACACCCCTCCTTGGAACCATGCATGAACAAGAACACTCCTCCTGGCTGGTCGGAAAGCCGCTGTGTCCCGAAGGGGCACTGCTTATACACTGTAGACCCCTTCCACGAAGAGCTTCCCAGGCGCCTCTGAGGCCCGATGGCATAGTTGATGATCGCCAGTGAGCCTGGAGCTGCCAGGGGGCCCAAGACCTCGGTGAGGAAGGGCTCAGCTTGTTCCTCCAAGAAGTCCAAGACACCCTCAATGAGGAACACGGCAGAGGCCTCTCTCTTGCAAATGCGGAACAAAAAGATGGAATAGGAATAATGCGGAAATACAAGAAAGTACATAGGAACCTAGAGAGCATGACACCCAGCCTGGCTATCAAAGCCTGCTTCAGTGAGCTTCTCTGATAACATGCCTGTATGGATGCAGAAAATTGCTAGAAGCCGGGAGAAAATGCTACTGCTAAACAAAGGGCCGACCTGCTTGGCAAAAGTCAGCAGATACGTTGACAACTGGACATAGGGAAGTGGCCCTGTTGTGCGAAAAGAAAGCTGTTTTGACAGCATTCCTTGGTGACAGTTGAACTTGGCATGCGCCCTGAGCTGCAAAAATCATGAATAATGATGCTTCCTCTTTCCATAGCAATTGCGGTGTCTCAGAGAGACGCCCGGGTGGCATGGCCAACTCGGGTGCAGGTCTGCACAGCCCGACAGTGTAGCATTGCGCAGCGCAGAGCCGAGGAAAAACAAATTCACAAATCCAGGCAGGGTGAAATGCCCTGATACAGTTCATACAACGCTCGATATACATATTGCAGCCTGAGCATCACTTCAGCTGTATCCACTTCGTAGGAGGCCTTGAACTGCTTGTAGGCATCAAGTCGATAAGGGCGAGTATCCACACCAGCTCCGAGATTCACCATCTGCGGTATCTCTGCGGTATCTCTGCTGATAAGATCATCTATAAACTTCGTGCGAACCACCGTCCACACCTCAAGAGGTGAAAACATCCACTGCAAAGCCTGTCTAGGACCAGGACTAGGACTGGGAGGGTTGTGCTCTGCGCGTGCCTTGTGAAACTCCGGCCAGCCATCAAAGCCAAACTGGCTGGCAGCTTCTCCCAATCGATCAGACATGGTCAAACCGTCTGACCCGGAAAGAGCTTTGGCAAAGGGGTCTTCAAACAAGGCGTCCTGGCCAGGTCGAGGCCAGGACCGGCTGTCTGTCACCCACAGTTGGCCTGGGTCACGTGTGTCCAGCTCTTGGCCTGCTTTCAGAAACACAGGCCAGCAGTTTCAGTTTTCTATGTTCACAGGTGTCTCATTGTGCCACACTCGTGGTAAATCTATAGTGCCTCCAATGCCACAAAAATGCTGGTGGGTGAGCTGTTCTCTCTTCTTTGAATGCCTTGGAGCTGCCCTCTAGCTCTCATGAATCGTCGGTCCTTACGCTCAGCTTCGAGGGCTCGCTCAGCAGCAACCATGAAGGCAGTCCTCCCGACCACGCTGACCTGAAAATGGTGCCACCAGTGGCCGGTGCCTTTTGAACATGTGTGAGCCGGTAATCACAGGTAGTGACCTATTGGATCCTAGTTAGTAGCAACGTCCAACTCAACTGCTCTCTTCTCCTGATCTGGCCTCCAAATTTTTGTGGCGGCCATGAGACGTTTTGAAGTATGCGTTTACAGTGGCCTCCGCATTCTCACCAAGCAGATTCACTACCTGAACTTTCTGTTCCCTACATTCAGCGGAAACGGCACTAGTGTACAATATTGTACACGTGTACATGTAGAAATACCAGCATTGCCAAAACTGTTGTGTACAACTGCTAGTGGAGGATAGGTGAAGAAGAAGCTATTTGCGCAGCTACGTGTCCACATCTCCTGAGAATATGTGAGAAGACTTGGCGCGATGAATGCTAAGTACTCGCAAACAAGCCTTGGAATGTCCAGGACAGGAGGCAAAGTGGGGAAACCAAAGTCGCGACCAAATGTGGCGGTCACCAAGTGTGTCATTCGACCGCAAACTAAGGTCTGAAGTTTCGGCCTCCTCCAAATTGGTGACTGCCATTGAGCCAGCAGTGTTTGACATCTCGTGGCTATGGCAAATGCAAACGCACGGCGGTTTGAACTGCTGTTGAACGCTTTGCAGTCTCTGACCCCCAGTTGGCATAGTTCAAGTTACCAGCCTTGTCCCTGCCTTTTTTGCCTTTGCTCTGCTTGCCCTTGCCTCCAAACAACAAACCAAAGTGAAAGTGAATATTCACGAGGAGAATGCCCTGTATTGCACTGCATTTCATGGCTCATCAATGGCAGCTTCGACACCTTTGCCGGATGGCCACCAATCGTACGGGTTTTCCCAGCTTTGCACATGCGCGTCTCCTGAACGATTCCATGCTTGCGAGGTGAATACGTGCGGCATCTGCACCAAAATACACGTCACCTTCCGGGCCACGCCATTCGTTGTACATGTGGCCACCCTGGAGCGTGGCACGATCTTGGTCAAACATACAGCAAGGTTGCTGCAACGGATCCCCTATGCTTTTCCAAACAAATAAGAGTTCGATCAGTAGTGAAGCAACGAGGGCGAGGCCTTTCCTTGCCGTTGAAAGGTAGTGCCTCCAATGCTTCTTCCATGCTGTGTAGTGGTGTGGATATGTAGGCGGGGTCCCTATATAACTATTTCCTACGAAACATGGGGACGCACTGCGTCCAGGATGCGTTCATCAACCTGCACATCTAGCTCAACTGACTCAGGACTACATAACCTTGTCGCAAGTGTGATGCATCGTTGATGTGTACCGTGTATGATTGAAAAACTTTTCAGGTGACGTCAGTGAGGTTTGCTACATCCCGGGGCGCGGGTGAAGGTGTGCTGCGGGCTGTCGACCTCCCGCACCCCCCCTAAAAGAAGTGCCTTCAGTGGCCCACCACTCGGTCCGTAGCCGGCCATCGTTGGTCAATTCTGCTGCAATCCCAGCGTAAGCACGGGTGGGGCTTCCTGTACTCACTGTGCTGGCCTCAGCACAAGGGCCCCTTGACACAGCAAAGGAATACAAGAAACAATAGGAACTTGAGAGTTCCTTGCCTTGCAGGAGATTTGTGGAGATGTAAGCCCAATCAGAATCTGAGCTGCACCACTGAGAGTCTGACAGCTTGCCCTGAGCTGAAGATATCCTAGGTGCAACACGATTGAAGTGGCTGCTCATTCTTCTATCTGTCCTTGCCGAGCTGCTGGGTTCTTTACCCAATCGTCTGCATCATAAGCATCATAGCTTGTGGAGTGTTGTGGTGGTGCATAGTAGCCTTCAAGCACAGCTGAGGCATAGCGGCATAAGGATGATCTATAATGGAGGCATGGCATGGGAATGCCAAAATGGAGGCTTGGCATGACATTGCATTTCTGTGTCGAAATCCAAAGTCCCTGCCTCTGCTGTCAAAGCTCCTAGATGTGCCAGAAAGACGTCCGTCACTGGTGAGCTCTGCGATGACACCACCACATTCTCAGCGGAAAAATGCTATGAAAAACTGCTGGCAATGAAAGGTAATGAATTCTACAGGGTGCGTGCGGCAAACGAATTCTCTGCATCCAAAAGGATGAGAAGGTATCTCTGTATTTAGCTCTCTCTCTCTCTCTCCCTCTCTCGCCATCGCCCTCTCCACCCTCAAGGCTCCCTTGGTTCCGCTATCCTTTTTTCCTTTTCTCTCTCTCTCTCTCTCTCCCCATGAATGTGTGTCAGTTGAGCTCGGCTTCCATGTTTCACAACTTACAACAACAGCACTAGTTGGACCCGAGCGACGCTTGCGCTCCTGTGGGTATTCCGCAACCTGCATCCGAATGGAATGGAAACCAAAAGTTAAGAGGAGAAGGAGATGTCTATAGTGAGTCACTAGACTAAAGGAAGCAGCAGGGTCCTGCTTGCCCTTGCCGCTGCCCTTGCCCTTTTCAGGGTAGTAGCCACTTGCTCGTGGGAAACTGTCCTGCATCTGCTAGCCGTGCAACGATGAGAATGATGAGAATTGTCAAACACTTCTAATATGGCCGTAAGAAATCAAATGAACCTGACTGGTCACACTTCCGCCACTTTCCTTGCTAGTTGGATCCATTTATGCCTTATATAATATATACCTCCTACAACCGGTTGAGGTGTGGCTTAGGGAGCCTGGTGATAGGACCTGCCAATAAAGTAAGTTCTCTGTCAAGCTCTCCTGGGCCCACGGCTCTCCACTGGAGAAGTTTCGGAATCCTGCGCAAGTAACTTGAAGCTTGGTCAATATGGTCAATGAGCTTCCTTCCCACTCTTGCACCATCAAGGGCTGGCACAAGTAGCTGTTTTTCAATGCGCTTGCGGGGGCGGGGAGCCAGCAAAGTGCGACAAAGCTGGTGTGCTGCCTACAAGTAGTGGAAAAGGATGACAAGGAAACTTGATTAGACTCGACCGATTAGACCTATTCAAAAGGATGTCTCTGTGTGGAGGCGTCCTCCATACATTCCAGAGGCCGGGGCATGTTGGGCTGGTGCAAAGCCTGTTCAGGACAACTGTGATGCTGCCAGTTGAAGCAGCAGGCTCCGGGCGCACCGTGATGTCGAGCTGATGGACCGACTCTCGATCTGAGGTCGGCCTTGGCTTGAGACTCTTGGGCCTATTTCAACTTCATTCTATAGCTCAACTCCGCAAGCCAGGTTTGGCAGGCCAAAGCTCAGCATGTCGCCATTCCAGCTACATGGGGGCTTCATCCGGCAGGCCGTGCTTCAGCACGCTCAAGAGTGTGACGGAGTGCGAGTGTGGATGCTAGCAGTTGAGAAAACTACACCTTGAACATTTGTGGAAAAAGATGCAGGCCCAAACAACCAGGTTCTGCAACTTCAACCATGACCCATTACCCTTGAAACCTTACTACACATAACGACGCAACTAATGAGCGTCCATATGTGTCAGCAATGCTGAGTTTGGATCTCGAGGGTCTGGGGCCACAAAGGCAGCTTGCAGCTTGAATGGCGCATCCTTAGGTCCTGTCCCCTGCCTTTGACTACTACATCAGTGCAGCATTTTTCAACTTTTTCACACCGGGAGTCCCGGGAGAGTGCCTACTCAAACAATCCCAAAGGGATCTGAAGACATATGGGAATACCGGCCAGCTGCGTTCAAAGGCGGGCTGTCGGCGTCCCAAAGGCCTCGCAGGCAATGCAGCAATGCCGCAAGAAAATGAGATGAAACATGTTTAAGTATGAAGTCATAGGCTTCATGTCAACCAAGCGTGCTGATACCATCTGATACCTAGATCGGTGTCCATCCAAGAGCGCTCCTGGGGAGCAGGTCCCTTGTCCAGCCGCGAATGATGAGACCTGCAGGCGCAGATCTCAGAACATCCAAAGCCAAAGGCAAACCAATGTAGTGCATCAGATGAGGGGAAAACACTTTGCATGATTTTTACATGCGACTCATACCTGAGAATATCAGACAAATCTCATGCAAGCAGTGTGCACTGGATAGAGCAACAATCCTAGTAGCTTCTTGCTCCTAGTAGTCAGGCCAGGAGCCCCTAGCAGCGTCCTTGCTCCTAGTAGTAAAGCCAGGAGCCCCTAGTAGCGTCCTTGCTCCTAGTAGTAAGGCCAGG